AGGTCCTTCCAACATAGTATTTCACCAACCTTCAGGTTTTTCCTACTTTTTACATAATTTGATTAAAAACCTAAAGTGCTTCCTGTAGTAAGCAACCAGCTTGAAAAGCACTTGTCAAACATAGCTCTCGAGTGATTCCAACTCCTCCCTTATGTAATCACATGCAAAGGTAATGTTTACTATAAAGTAAGAACAGTCGTTGTCATGGGTACTATGAAGTTGTGATGGTGGCACCAAGTGTGCTAGGAAATAACCAGGCTCACATATTTTCTCAAGAAATCCACCAGCAGGGAGTTATACAGAGCTTCTGAATCCACAGGTTTTTGAAGATCTTGTCAAATTTCTTCTTTGTATAACATTTCTATTTCAAGCTGAGTAGACTTATTATAAAATAACATTATGCCAAGCTGTGTAATTAAGATTTGCGCTTGCATGCCGAAGCGCCAAAGCAATCAGTGGAATCCTGGGTATTTGACTTCAGGCAAAGAAAGTTGTATCCTGTTTTGTTAAAAAGGCAAGACTGGAAGAGTGGATCTTTTTAGAACCAATCTTTTTTTATTCTTAAAGCTACGGAATCTGGAAAAGGATCCTGGAAAAAGAGAGGAGAAAGATTTTGCAAATTGTTAGTTGCAAAGAGTGCTGTCATTTCACTGGTATTTCCCTACCTCATAGTGTACAGAGGATTCCCCACAGAGATGCTGGAGCAGCAGAGCGTGATGGTAAGGCCGGTCCTTTGTTGAGGTGGTGTCCTGGATACTTGATAAACAGTGCTCCTCCCAGATCACATCGTCTGGTGTCAAGTTCTCTTTATAATTGCTTATCATCTTTTATCAGAGCTCACCTTAGCACTTTCGAAAACTCTCATGTATAGGAGCTATCTAGGATAATATATTTGTAGATTTGTTGTCTCTCAGAGCAACAGTCTGTTGATATGGCCTGCTGGTTTTTAAAGCTCACTTGTTTTTTCAGTTCTTTCACAATATCTTTTTGTAAGTAGTATAGGAAAAAAATCATGCCCAATGATGTGAGCACTCTGTCATCCAAGAATAATCTAGAAAGTTTCAACAAAAGGCTATAAATAGTCAGCCATGTCTGTGCAGAAGAATTAAACCCTTCTTAATGATTGTTTTCTTCTCTTGTAAATTCAGTATTGCATGATCCTCTGGTAGGTATTTTATCCTGTGCAATTTCTGCTTTTTTCCAGGAGTTTTCTCCCCCCCTGCTTGGCTCCCTCTAATCCTAGTAGTTCTCTCAAAATTGCTGCTCTGCCACTCATTTTCCTATCTGAACCACACGCCAGCCCCTCACTTCCTAGTTTTTGGAGCTTGCTGATACCTCAATTGCATCTTGGTAGCCTTATTCTATTACATTAAAGTAATTCTAATAGCTTTTTCAGAAAATCATTTACAAAAGCTCACTGCTCTTTCAAAGTGCAACTTCGGATGGCCCTCTCTGTGCAAACCGTTCATTTTCTTGACATTTCAGCTATGTTTGACATCATCGATAGCTTTCAGTTTGGACCCATGACAATGAACAGCTCAAATTCCCTCTAAATGTCTTCTTCACAGGAGATAACATTTTGGTTAAAACTGTTACTTGAATTAGGCTAGTTTTCTGAAATATTAAGAATTACAGACTTACCTGATTTGTAAAAAGAGTCTTGAAGCCAGGATGGATCCAAGCACTGTGCATGTAGAATGATGTGTATATATGAAATTGAATTCAGAGTTGGACTTCGAATGGGATTTTCAAAACATCTTAGCTAAGAGGACTAGTGTCTCTGGGGCTTTTGCTTTTAATTCTTACTGGTACTTTAAAAAATCATTCTGTCATTGTTATAGGCCATATGAAATACTTATATGTGAATAAAGCAAAAAATCCAAATGTGATCAAAATCCTAATTTTCAGCATAGATGCACTTCCTTTTCTTTTGGACAAAGTAAAGAGAAGATAGGCTAAAAGCTGTATTTTATATTGCTATCACAGAAGCTGACTCTCTGCTTGTTGCTGTAAACATGCGTATGATTTAGTTGACTTCCTAAGTGAACTTATGGGTTGTGCTGAAAATGAAAGAAATAGCAAAATTATTTTAAAGATGACAGTTATGCATTTCTGTCTTTCAGGTGAATTTAATTATAGACAGATGGTTCAGGAAACTGAAATGTTCTGTTTCAGTCCACAGCTCTCCTCTAGCTCCTATTAAATTGACTTGTGTCTTTCTGGAGAGCTGGTTTCCTTTGCATGAGAATACATCCCAGCTTTACTTCTTGTTTCTTCTGCTGCTATTTGGAATAATAATGCTTATTATTTCTTATTTGGAAAGTGGTATGCCATATAGGCATATATATGCTAGAAGTTAGATTTCAGTAATCCCTGTATGTCATGCAGGATACTCAGTATCTGGTGATGAATTCCAAAAGTTACAACCTGAGCCTGAGACGAACTGGTGGCCATGCAGTGTAAGCTGCTGTATCTTGTTAGTAACCACATGCACCAACATCAACACTTGTGGTGGAAGTACAAAGCTGCTAAAAATCTCCTCATTAAGGAAATATTCTTGGGCTGGTAGGGTGAACAAGTACAGAATTGTGATTACAATTTACAGATGCATTTTACGGGAGGAAAGTGTAAGTAAAAACATGTAAGGCAGTATCAGGCTGATTGGATTCTATGAATCTCTGTAGCAGCACTACTTGTCTTTGGTAGGGTATCTTTATTCCAAGTAGATACTAGTATCTTAAACTTTTTCTACCTAAAATAGTATATGTGACTTCAGATAAAACTTTTACTAGAAGGAAGGAAGAAGAGAGGAAAGGGAAGGAGAAAGGGAAAAGAAAGGGAAGGGGTGGGGGAGGGGAGGGAAGGGAAGGAAAGGAAGGAAATTTCATATTAACAGGATAACATAGAAAATAGATTTCCCCTAAAATGTACTGTCAGTCTGTACATAATGAGTGAAACAAAAAAATAGCAACCAAACCAAAGGAAAAAAAAAAAAAACCCCAAACAGGCAGAGAGGAAAGGGACAAGTTTAATGATAGAAGAAAAATACAGATACTGACAGTGGAAAACAGATAGAAGGGAGATCTCCAAAGGCTTAAAATATTGCTACTTCCTTTTTCCAGGTAAATGCAGTGTAATTCTTGCTTGAGTTTTCCAAACTTTTTTTTTTCTTGAATATTCCCCATCATTCTGCTGAATTTTAAGAGGGAGATTGATTACTTGGTCATTTTCTTCTAATGCTGTCAGTATGCCAATCCAAAATTAAAAGGGGAGAGTAGGAATTTGGAGGTCCAAAATTCAAAGGAGCAATTTTTATTGGCTTGATTAGACTTTGATTCCAGTCTGCTTTCTGTGTGTACAACCAAATGCACTCTTCTCAAGTTTGCTTGCAGTTTGAGTTACCATCATGGGACCAAACTAAGGAGATTTTATTCGTACTGGGGAATGTTTTCTTCATCAAGATAGATAGTTCTACTAAACCCCCTATGATATAGAAGATCCATAATCTGGTCTGTAGCTAGCTGGATGGTAGTTTATACAAATATATCAACAGATTCTGCCATCTTTATTCACGGAGTGATGCTTTAATCTTTAGCTTCACACTTGGGATGGATTTTGATGCTCTTAGTTGTGTGAAACATCACCTTATTTCAGACCTAGTACCACTGATGATAACAGGACTGCTTACTGAAAAACATGCTAAACTGTTCAAATATAGCGCCTTGATTTCAGCAAGACTCTGTATTCACTGCAATATTATTCAGTAGGTTTCAAGACCACAGACTCTTAAGAGTTTTCTACAGTAGCAGTATTTCAATACTTAGTCCCTAATATGACAAGTAAAAGGTGAAAGTATAAGACCAGAGTAAAAAGATTTAAAGTGGGAAGAAGCACAGTAAAGCCCCAAGTGAAAATAATAAAATGTGTACAAGAGACCAATAGGAAAACATGGTCATGTTTATGATCTACTGTCAAGTGCTAATTTCTGTGGCATATACTACTCTGGTTGCTAGAATCAATACTCTTGAATATATGTATCCCTTCAGTTCTCAATCACTGCTTTTACAAGAAACTATTGCATTACACTGCGGCTGCAAAACCCAACTCACCTGTCTGTTCAATAATTTTGATTTACTGGCTTCTATCTTACTTCATGAATTCAAGGCAAACTTGAGCTAAAAGTATGTCTGCACTTGGGATGTCAAATTTCCCCAAAATGGGAAATCTTTAACAATTTTCCAGCTGTCTTTCCACCTCTTATAGTATTCAGAACACTCCAGCATCTCTTATAGGACGTTCTCTGTGAAATCACAGAGGCAATTCATGATTTTGGATCACAGCTGATCCACATAGCTTACAAACTAAGCCCCTGGCTGATCAACCAGATTCCTGTGGAAGGACCTTTGAGGCAGGACAGATTCTGACTGAATTCAGTAGGGCTCTGTGCAGGCCAAAGGTCTATCCAGTTGTATTCTGCTAGTGATCAGTCAGAGTCTAATACTGTATCTATTTTATGCTATGGTAGTAATACATATTACTATTCATATCATTTAATAAGGCACTTCTTAAAAAAAAAAAAAAAGTCCTCAAATCCCTAGGTCATTAGAACATAGTTGGGGACGGGAGCAGAAAGAAACCTCTTCTCTATTAATTTGACATACCAGGAATATTGCTTACTGTTGTTTGTGTTGTAGTAGTCCTAAAGCAAAAACCTAGTGTCCTGCTTACTTAATACAATGGTATCTATTCATTTCAGGATGTTATATCTATAAAGCATCTGATAATATGCATAAATTTATATCTCTCTTGATTCCTTAAAAAAGTTCAAATATTTTGGACCCAGATTTGAGGTGATATATCTGACGTTATTAAGTAAGCTAAGGAATACTATTGGCGCTGTGTCTGTGCCGGGTTACCACTGCAAACAATTGATTGCAAGCAAAATGGACACTAAGTTTCAGCTATAAGGTTTACTCTTCAATAATTGATGGCTTCCACACCTGTGCAGTGACGCCAGCTTTCTTTGCTGAAAATTTTGGCCTCGGAGCAGTAAACAAAGATGTGGTGGTTTCTGGCTTAGAAAATGCAGAGTAGCCGGTAGGTGCATATGATTCATTTACTGGGATAGAGGCGTTTGACTGGAACGAAGGTTGTGAACTGTAGGCTGGCACAGAGTACACTGAAGATGCCCGGGCATTAGTAGGAGAGCCAGCACTAGGTGGTCTTAAAGGTAGAGCTTGCTTTGAAGTGGACAGCTTCGATGTCTGCTTAATAGCAAGGCTTTCCTTACTACTAGGAGGTTGAAAAGTAAATAAAGATGCATCGAGTTGATAGGGTTGATGTTTCATAATATCTAAAGCATTGAGACCTTTCTTAGGTTTTCTTTTTGTATTTTTGGTAGCAGCAGTGGACTTAGAGGAGGGCTTGGTAGCAGCAGGAGGATAAGATGGGCAGTGGATGGGATTATAAGCAACAGGTGGAGGTGCTCGGACATTAGATGAATATTTCCAAGAAGCTGGTAAAGATGGAGTTGGAGATGAGGCTCGTGCCATGTTTGCCTGCACAGTCTCTGAATCTACCACATACTTCTCCATTCGAGAGTGCCTTCTGGCAAATAGCTGTGCTCCTTTTCCACTCATAGCTGGTGGCATCTCAAAGGGTGGCTTTGTTTCTCCAGCACTTGGTGTGACTGGTGTCTTGGGTGTATGGTTTGGGCTCGCTAGGGTTGCCTGAGGCCCTTTGAAAGGACCAGCTAGGTTGAGAGTACTTGGGGGATGGACAGGAGAATGAGGATACTGTGGAGATTTGAGTGGTGCCGGATATGCTGCATGAGGTGAGGCTGGTGCTGGGAAAGAAGGAGCTTTGTTAGAAGCCACAGCTGAAGGTGACCAAACTGGTGAAACTGGAGTATCAGCAGGAGGAGAGACCTTGAGTGAAGGCTTTGGAGCAACAGGAGGAGGGGCCTTTTGTTTAGATGCTTGAGTCTGCATGAAATTGCAAGCTTCTGCTCCCAAACTGAGGTAGTCTTCTTCAGGTCCTGACTCAAAACCAGCTCCAGTACCTTTTTTGCCCTCTGCATTGTGCACAAGGGACAACAGGGCAGGATTAGGACTGACCTTGGGTGCTTCTTTGAAAGTGAACATAGGTTTTGAAGTGCTTCTTCTCTTTGCCTCTTGTAGTATCCCAGTTCTTTTGGCTGGCACTGCAATCCTTTCATCTCTGGATGCTATGTGTTCTGTTGGCTCAGTGGGTGACCACACATTTGGGACAGCTCTGCTGGCTACAGGAGCTGAAACAGGTCTGTATAAAGCCTCGGGTGGTGGGCTAACAGAGCAGTAAGGAGGTGGTGCTGGTATATCTGAAAGAGGACTAGCGACATTTCTTATGGGTGAAAATGGTGCAGCTGCTCGGTTTTGAACCCCAGAAGGGAAGGGTTTAGCTGTTTTATTCGAAGATGCTGCTTTTTGAGCTTCAGAGGACTGAAAAGAGAGGCTTGTGTCTGGTGCTAAGCCAAAGCCATTTTGTTGTACAATTTTGCTATGATTCTGGCTCACGTCTGTGTAGCTTTTGCTCACACAGGTCTGCTGTCTTGACATTTCTTCCTCTTTTGTTTGATAGACTGAAGAGCTTACTTTCTGGAAGTTCTCTGACACGGTGGCTTCCCTTTGTTCCTCTGTGTGCACTGTGCGTGCCTTCATCTCCTCTTGCTCAGCTGTAATCTGATCCATCCTCTGCCGTCTCTTAGCAAACATGAGGGCCCCTTTACCTGTGGTCTCTGGAAGCGTCTGCATCTCGTCTCCACTTTTTATCTTCTTTTCAACCTCAAGTAGACCACTGTCCCAGTCAAATGTCACAATCTTACCGTCGTTGTCAATGTCAGAGAAGAAATCTTCATCTATTTCTGACTCACTTGTTGCAAGCAAACTCACTTCAAAAGTGTTTTCTTTGTCCCCCTCCTCACCTTCACCTTCTTCACCCTCGTCTTCGTCACGTTCTAACTCCCCAGTACCGTAGCTAACTAAAGTATACTTCCTTGCCCTTTGACGACGCTTCTTGAACATCAACACCCCCTTGGAATTGGGATTGGGAGCTGCTGTCAGCAGCAATGCAATACTTTTACATTTAGATTTGGCTTCTTTGACCTGCTTCTCTGACAGACTCTCACTTCGCCGGAGCCCTGTAGAAAGAATTGAAGTGCACATTTAATTGCATGCGGCCCCGAAAAATACAAGGAGACTAAAACCAAATATTTCTGCATTCATCTGTACTGAAATTTACCCATATTAAAACATTTGTTTTCTTTTGCATGGAGAGGACACTATACTTAAGCTTTTCCCACAATATGAACTGCGTTGTAAATTCTATACCCAGCATTCCTTAGAGTCACACCCATGCAAGTTCAAAGGCTACATCACTTTCTTTAGGACTTTCTTAGTTCAAAAGGAACGTTACATGTGATTTTATTTCTAGCGTTCTCCATTTTTATTCCCATAAGTAATTGCAGCAGTGGCAGGCAGAAAATACTTTCTCCTTTATTCAATTTCTATGATCTGGTATTTACCAAGTGCTTGACCACAGTTCCTAGGCTTACAGCAGACATTCCCAGCCAGCCAGGCCCATCACTGCTTAACATCCGAGGCCAAATGAAACTCAGTGTATTTTGTCTGATGGTGGCAGCAGCTTCTGCCATTTATCTGTTTATTTTACCCATATGCATTATAAAATGTATATCATTGATAAAAGTTTGTATGCTGTATTAGCTATTTAAAAGCAAGCGTACATCCGAAAAGGCATACAGTGAAACCATTAGCATTAACTTTCAGCCCCTTGGAAGACATGAGAGTTTGGCCATGGTACTCAATGAAAGGAGGTATCAGTGTTTTAACAAGTATTACTTGCCTGAAACATATCCAAAATTATGTAGGATGTAACAGCTCCAGAATAGTTATTTTAAAAATGTTGCAAGAATGAATATACATTTAAGAACTTAACCGAGGAGGCTTAACTAACTTCTCAAGAGTATTCTCTAGCATGTACCAGTAATGCATATTTCTTAAAGCATAAATAATTGGTTCTCATCAAGTCATGTGAAACAGGAATAGATGCAGCTGTAAAGCTGATAGATGCACTATACATCAACGTGACTGCTTTCTTGTTATGTGTCCTGGAGCATGTGCCTCATGGGGCAGCGCTAGTCAGGTGGCGTCCCTGTTTCTTTCCCTTTCTTATATTCTACCATCGCATCTCATGAATGACAGCCTCAATAGCTTCTCCCTTTAAAAAAAGCTAGAATTTAAAGCTGTTCCTGCTTTGGAATGTTCCCCTTCCACTTAATTTCAAAAGCATGCCTCTGATATATGAAAATAGAACAGTAAATTATTTAGTATCTTTTGCTAGCATAAATAAGGCAAATTCATTAAAGCAAGCCAAGTGATGTATTTTCTCTTAATGATCCTTTTAGCTGTGTCAGTAGATGGAGTCTGATACTTCTCCTATTAAAGGTAATTGGAGTTTTGCCATTATGCCAGATGACAGCGTGGCTGGACCAATGGTTTGCACAAGAACCTACAAAAGAGAAAAGAGCACAGCACCCAAACCAGCATTTTGTAATATTTTATTGTGAGAGGGCCAAATCACAAAATCCTTGGCTCAGTCCTTTGATGATCCAAATGCTTACAGTAGTCACTGAAGACATTTTCCAAAAGTGTGGGCTTTAGTGTTAGAGTGCCTCGGCAAACAGAAGGCATGTAAGTTCTATGCTTTGAAATAAACTACTTGCATCAGCAGTGAGGATTTTTCTGGGACGGGGATTCAGCAGGTACCCCATACAGTTCTGTGGAAAGCAAAATTGAAACTTTTCATTTTGCTAGCGTATTTTTTCTTAATTTATCTGGATAGTTATTTAATCAATAGTTTCAAAAGATGGGAGAAGAAATGTTGCGTGTTCCAGTAAATAGAATCTGATTACTATCTACAGGGCAAATTTCTGCTAAAGAGATCAAATACCTATAATAAATGTTCTTCTCTAGTGTAGCCTTAAATGCTGCATTATAACTTCTAATTTTACAAAAAACATGCATAGTGTTTGCTGCATACAGATTATTCACCTAGGCTTGGAAATTTGTTCTAATGTGTAGATAAGATAATGATAATAATAATAATAAGAAGAAGAATAGCAACAAACATTTTTATCGACTAAATCAGTGGTTCCTAAGGATAATGACCTGCCACTAGATTAGAAGGAATTGAGATTGTCATAGTTGCGATGGGAAAAGGACAGAATCTATGTCCTACTTGACAGCAGACTTTATCATGTAATATGTAGTTCGTTCTTTGTACTTTTGCTTTATTAGAGAGGCACTGCAAGTAATTCTTTCAGACAGACAGGCACAGTCCCACAGTTGGTTCTAACTTTGCAGCCAAAATGTAAAGCATGTGCACTTTTCTTTTATGCTTCATTTAATATGCCAAAAAATATGCGGATTGCATACAGACACTTAGCCATAAGTAACTGCTTAATCTACTTGCCAATAAGATACAAATGGTTATCATGCTAAAAATATGCTTACAGAGGAATTAGCAGAGGGTTAGCAGACTAATTCCAACACTGCATATGAAATAGCTTGTTGCTACAGTATATCACTGCACACATTCAAGCACCTTTGACATACTGCTACTAAATCCCCAGATGGGATTCTTAACATTGTTGGGAAAGAGCAAGCAACCAATGGAAAGGTCCCAAACGAATAAAATAATAAATAGATAGATAAAATAAATAATACATATCTGCACTCAATTAATATTGAATCCAGTCGCAATTTTACTTTCATGTGAACTTCTTGGACACATTTTGAAGCTGACCTCTGGGTATGGGAGTCAGAAGAAATAACATGTTCACTTTACAGTCTAGAGAAGACTGACAAAACTGAAAGGATCATGTAACAGTTATACACATGCTAGTGTCTGTCAAAATCTCTTCTGCAGGCAGTATCAAGCTTTTCTACTATCCTTTTTTATTAACTTCTAAGAGCAGTGGCATGGCTTTGATTTTAGATGATGCAAATGACAACACAAAGTTTTTGCTATAAAAGGAGAAACCACAGGATTCACTTAGACATGTGCAAGCAACTTGCTTTTTTTTGTTAATATTCTACAGATTCCCTCTGAATATACATTAGAAGACCAGCGGAATTCAGCCTGTTTTGGAGATGTAAGTAATTTTAGTTGGACTAAGTCATGAGTTAATTTCAAAGTGGAAGTCAACTAAGCAAAGTTGTTCAGCACAGCTAAGGCATGGGTATACTCTTGGCTCATCACCGGGACCATTGTATTACCCTGAAAAAATATATAAAGCAAGAGCAGAAACATCATTTAAAAGAGAAAGACAGAGGGAAAGTTAGAAAACTGCAGAAAAAACTCTAAACATTTTTTTTTCTAATTCAGCCTTAATTCTGAAATTATGTTTAAAGTTACAAAAGATACCCTCAGGCAGTGCAAATTATTAGATGGGACAGACTTACTTGCGTGCCTTGCCCTGTGCTTGAGAGGTCTGTGATCCCTTTCCGAGTGCTGGTTGTCTTCTCCCTGCTCTGTGCCTTCTGATGAGATTGCAAAGGAGAGGAGGGAAGGAGGTGCTTCTGACTGCCCTCCTTCCACTTGAGAATCAACACACCCCCTTTCAGCTAGAGACCTGGGTGCTTCCTTCTCCCTGTCTGAGCAGTCTAGGATCACCTCCACCCTGGGGAGAGATGGAGCTGCACCTTGGATCCTCTTGACCTCTTTGCCACTGGAAAACTGGACTACTTTGCTTGACCACTGGATGTTGCCCTCTTTCACACCCAGGGGAATTGCAATTACAGGGCTAGTCCCGTCTTGTTGTACACTGGGTCCTCTTCCTGAAGGGGTGCGTTTTTCTGCCCCTGAGAGTGTCACAGCAGGAACATTGGTGCCCTTGTGCGTGTCATTTGAGAGGGACAACTGCAGCTCAACCATAGTACCTGGCCTTCTTTCTTCTGTCTTCCCTCTGAAAGCAGCCTCATCTGTCACGAGCACTTTGGAGGTGCCTGTCACTTTAGGAGTAATTCTGTGGCTTTGTGTGGTCTCTTGTTTCGTTTCAGAAAAGTCTATGTTGGTTTCTCCTGCTCCCTGGTGAGTCTCACTGTATATCTCTGTGATGCATAAATCTCCATGGGGTATCTCTTTTGCTGTGTTAATTTGCAGTGTAGTACTCTCCCTATAGTCCTCATTTTTTATGTTATCGTGCTTTCCATTTTCTCTTTCAGCACTCAAGGTTTCATTTATTCCATTGGAGGATCTGCACATACATAAACAAGTAATTCAAGAAATTAAGCTGCTGTAAACACAGCAATTGTAAGTACAGTAACAAAAGCAATTTCTGTATAGTATTTTTCCCCTATATTAATTGCGGTACTTGCTAGCAGGTCCATTTAAGTAGAAGAATTATCCCAGAACCTAGAGCTCTTAAATTGAAGCATATTTGTATCTTCCAAAATTCTTCAACTTAACGATTCAGCAAGCGGGAAATTACACTACTGTGGTAGAACTATGATCCTGCTACCATCCTTCTGCAATGTTGAATGGATATCATTCCTAACATCAGTATGCTTTCAAAAACACATTTCTGTTATAGTGTTTGCAGACAAATGCTGCTGAGACTTCTGGAACAATACTTCTTCATATTTCACATGTGCATGACAAAATTAACTTCGCACAACACCAGAAGAGTGGTTAATTTTTTGCTCCGTGATTACTACTGCAACTGTTTTAGACACCATCCTCACATATAGTTCCTGTCCCAAATAGTTTACTTTCTAAGGAATAGATAAGTACTGAGTGAGGATCAGAGGGAGGGGAATGAATACTTAAAATACACATTCAAAGAATTCCTTTGAATCATCATCCTTGTATATCACGGAATAATTAAAACATCCTGCCTATTCCAGTGATCCAGTGAAAAAGGGTAGTGAATGCATCCAATATTTTGTAGTTATTAAAAATTACATACTTCTAACTGGCAAACGTTATTTTCACTTCCTGAAACCTACTATGTAGCTCCCTTTTTTAACCTATTCATCCCTCTGGCCCCATTAGGCTGTTTTACTGGTGTTAGGACTCCTAATGTACTCTCTAGCTTCTTCTTTCAGTACTCTGGGCTGTACTGACTACTGTTTATTAGAGAAGAAACCATTCCTGCACAGCAAGACTGCAGCATGTTATTAAGGCTTTCTGTTGACTAGAAGGTAGCAAAGTACTTTTTCAAATAAGGGAAGCAGTGGGTACCCTAAGTAAAGTATTAATATCTAGTATGATGGAGATTTCTGAAATCAAAAGTGGATCCTAGGTGTTCCGAAACTTTGGAACCCCCTACAAAGAAAGGCTGGAGGAAGCAACAGAAGAAATAAATCACTGAAGAAACTTCAATATTAGTTGATCTTCTAGCCACACAGCCTACAGTTTGTAGCAGTCTGGGTCTGCCTCAAATAGCACAAACTATGTAACATCCTTTAAACCACATACGGAGCTACATAAAGGTCAGACAGATTTTAATTTAGGGAGCTCCTTGTGAGTGTCACTGGATTCCATCGTATTATGCTATTTGGATGATCAATTGTACTGTTCTTAAGTACAGATAAATTACAGAAATCTGTAAACATTTCCTTGTAAGATATGAGACTGGGGGCTGGGCCAGCTAAATGTTAGCCTTTATTGGTAGCTGAGTGATTGTGTGTATGTGTGAGAGAGAAAGATTTCCACCTTAAAAGGCCCTTGCTACTTATGGATATACTTCTACTCTATATAGACATAAATGTGTATCTGTGTGTAAAGAGGCAGAATACTGGGTCTGATCTCTTTTTTGTCATTTAAGATTCTGTTTTGTCAAATTATTATTTTTGTTCCAGGTCTTTCCAGCTCACTGCAGGAACAACACCCCTGGTATAATTCCAGGAAGGAAGCAGGACTCATGGAGTCAGCGCGGCAGGGTTTGTCTCAGAGTCATGTTTTACTCCCTACATGGTGCATTTCATTTTGGTATGCACTGAGCACACTCCCTATTCCCCCTAGAAATTTTCTTTCTAGACTCAGCAGAAGCCCAAGAGTTGCTAACACTAGTGTGAAAAGGGCAGGCTAGCATTTCTGTTTCTGTCCCCACTCTCAAAGTTTCCCAGATACATCTGTTCAGCACTTGTCGGGAAGGTCAGTAAGATGTTCCCCCACATGGCATCTGGAGAGTGCCTGCCCTGCAGGGTGTCTCTTTCCTCTGATCCTGTAAACCAAAGATTTTGTGGACACTGCTAGTCAGTAAACTACTGTGGTTTACAGAGGATTGGGAAAACTTTTTGTAGACATCAAAGGCCAAGTAGCTTTTTAAAAAATAGTTTACAATCCTAATTTTCCTCCCAGTAAGCTTAGTAAGAGCAGAGTTAGGCCAACAATGAACGCCTATGAAAATCTCATCCTTCATGCAAACAATTCAGAAACAGTCAGCAGCTTCCCAAAGAGAAGTATTCTTCCCTGCCAGTGAAAGATGCTTGGATGTAAAGATCACCATTGGAACACCACTTTAACTAGGTATTATTCTTCCCTCATGATTTCCAACATTTTCTTGAGATGGCTCCTAACAAGTGACTACTCAGGAAAGGAATGATTTATTTCTCATTGCTCTCAGAGGATGTGAAGACTCTTCCTGAAAAATCCTCCTGGTGGTAGTGCTGAGAGGGCTACTACCGATAAAGGAGGTGGCAGGGGAAGAGAAGTGTGTTAGTTTATTCTTCCATATCCTGGAATATACTGACAGTAGGGGCTGGGAGTTGGGGGAGGTGAGCTGATGAGAAGAAATTCAAAGATTCTCACGGTGAATTCCTTTAGAACATTTTAGTCACTTTCAGAGTGTTGAGCAACTGCAATTTTCTTAAAATTTCTAATAGACACAGTTTCATTCATGAATTATGTGGTCTAAGCACTCTGTTGTGGTTCTGATTTTCAGGACATGTCTTGCTGGTTGCCATACATTCAAGCAGGGACAACGGAGTCAATGGAAGATGTGCTGTCACTTTGAGCTACAGTGTACTGTGGCCTTCAGACCAACTGAAATATCAGTTACAGAGCAGCAAAAGGCAGGAGTCAAAGCATACGGAGCTATTTCTATGGCTGCAAAGAAGACCACAAGTACCATTTTTACAAGTGCAGTTCCAGTAGTCATGTTACGAATTAAAAACACAAGAATGCAGGTACCACATGAGGAGCATTCAGATGGTACACTGCGGAACCAGAAACAAGAGCTATGCACTATGGAGAAGGTAAGCTGTAATCCTCAGCTGTCACTGTTCCCCTGATCTCATCACATTGATTCATTACTCAGCCCAAGACAACATGTGCAGACAGGCCATGCAAAATGTCTATAATAAATAAAATGACTACTTCTTGAGAGCATCTTGTTTCAAAGTCAGGTTGTAACTTTGAACTACTGGACACTTTAGGAAAGTTCCTTTGCACAGGCTGCAGAAACCACAGAGGAATTTCACATGCTGTTTAGACATCCCTGATAACCAGAGACAAGTGCCTTTTTTGCACCAGAGTCCTTTCAGTGACACTGCTCTGTTAGCTGTTGTGATTAATCCTGACCCCTTCTGTCCTCCTGGTCCTTCCTGTGGGAGAGCAGACACAGGGAATCGCAATAGCTCAGGGAGGAGCCATAATTCCTTACAAGGAGTGTGGAAGTCTCAGGTCTTTTCTTCCTCTTCTTACCCACACTGAAGGCAATTCAGAGTTCATCTTGTCTGAATTCACAGTCTGGGGAGAATGTGCTTACTGTAGGTGGTCCTGAACTCAAGGTTGCTTGCATTACACTGATGGCAATTACAGAACAGGTGTTAGAATAGACTGATGTGCAGTGAGCAGTAATGCTGGCTTGCTTGCAAATTTACATGAAAGTTCTCTAAGAAGCTCAAAGCATTTTCAAAGAAAAACAAAATTCACTATCACTGTTTTAGAAATGGAGAAGCTGAGACCCTGAGAGTTCTAAGTGACTTGCACCTCCTCATCTAGTAAAGTGTTAACAGCTACAGAAATAGAATTCATGATTTCCAGACCCTCTCCCCCTCCTGACTACTAACACATTTTGCCACCCAAGAAGACCCTTTACCATGTCATCATCGAGGCATATCTGTGTAACACGCTTTCTGCATCTATACAGCCTTTGCTTTTTGTAAGCATCACTTCCCTATCTATGGGGAATAACAACACTTCACTACTTCAAAGGGGTGGAAAGAATAATTGAATGTAAGAATCTGCAGTATGCAGATGTGGTAGTGGACACCTTGTAAGTATTAAGAATACTTCATAAGAAATAAAATCATTACATTTGTAGACTGTACTCTGATTCTATGTCTGAACTGTACTGTTTGATTTATATACATTAATTCCTTCAGATCAGATACTCTTGTCTTCCTACCCTTTTCCATACAGACAAGCAGAGTTACAGACATAAATAAGAGGAGTGTCAGAAGCTCACAGTATATGTCTGCAAAATGAGCGTATTCAAAACCAGCATTTTCCATGTGGTTCACTGAGCAGAATTGCACCAAAGCATTCTGAGCATTCCTGTACCTCTTGATAAGCATCTGCAGGACGTCAGTCAAGCTTTCCATCAGAACGATAACTTCAGCATACGTTAAGTCTCCACAAGGCTTGCCATTGATAGACACCACCTCATCTCCCTCACACAGTCCAGCCTTAGCTGCTTTGCTCTTGCTGCGAACCTACAATGAGTGAAAAACAAATTCCAAATTGCACAATTAGTGTTCATTTGAAAACAACAGCAATCATGTCCTCAACTTACTTTTGTCTGTACAGAAGAAAAAAGATCAATATTATTGATCATAAATTTCTAGTAACACAAATTGATAACTTGTCCTAGTTGAGGTTAATACTGTTCTGGCCAGTATTAACAAATACAAAAGCTTCTGCTACTGACCTTATGAGCTAGATATCAAACAGACTGGAATTTGTTTTAAAAAAGAAGGAGATAGAGAAGTTTGGGACAACAATCCATTGATCTGAGCTTAGCAGAAATGTAAAAAATCTTACTAGTTTCTCCCAAAATCAAAGACTACCAGAACTGAAATCTGTGCCAAGATTTTAAAAGAAGAACGTATAACCTCAGGCTCTTCTGGGCAGAATGTCAATATCTACATGCTGTTAGAGCTGTAGGTATACAGACTTCTGGTATACTGGACACTTTTCCTTAGATGCTCAGCTGTAGGTTTAGCTGCCAAACTATAAACATCTGAATCACTGGAGATCCTAAATCCATGTTTAGTCATCTGAGTAAGTGCTGTGATTTATTAAAGTTAAGACACGCCTCTCATGGTTTAACCTTCCCTGTTAAGTACTCATTCAAGAATCTTATGCAGCTTGGTTTTTGGTGTTTCACTTCTTTTTCCACTGGCAGCATGTTATAACTTATCTTAGACTTTGTATAACAAAACCTAGACAGCTTTAACACCACTCAAGGTATGCCATACAGTTGACTGCTATTTTTAAAGTACATATTTGGCAAACTGTGCATTATATTAATCAGGATGCTTGCAGGAGCCTATTTTAGAATGACACATACACATAAAAGGGCTGTCCTTGGGTTCTTTGCTCTCAGTCTTCTACCTGTTGGTGTGAGTGCTTTGGCCTAATACAATATTCAGTTGGTGGATTGATAACATCCTTATTAATTCTCATAGCATTTTCTTGAAAAAAATTCAAAGAAATAGTATAGTTCTACCACACAGCAGTCCTCACTGACTCTAGGAAAGTTACTTCTGATGTACACCAGATCTGAGGGTGCAGCTGTCCCACAGACGCATGGAATTATCCCCAATATACTATTAGGCAACTGGTTTCGTACCCAAGACCCAGTTCTGGAGGCAATTTTGAAAAGTTCCTTGGAGTCAGGATGATAGGTGGAATAAAGAGTGAGACTGCACGTTTTTCTGTGGCGGGGCCATATATCTTTATTGTTTCAATTTATACATACCCATATGTCATATTGTGGCTTTTAGAGCAGTGAAGAAACAGAAGCCTGGTGCGTACAGAAGCGAGTTTCTACCTTGCAGAGTTAACATTGACAAATATGGAGTGGTATGCTGCTCTGTTTATCTTGCCTTAGGCAAGAGCATAAACATCCTTGTGCTTTGGGAAGAAATGACAGTTTAAACAGTGTTTAGAATGTTTTGCTTCATATATGCACTAGGATATGGGCTGAGGTTTTGTTATTGTTTTTTTTTAAATAGGAAGGTATGCTATTAAAATTTTACAAGACATCTTAGGCCTGAATGTAAATATTTAATGTGGATGCTAGGAAGAATTCAGAGTGACCCTTTTTCAAAAAATATGTAAACAGCAATTATAGCAACATATGAACTCTAAAATAGCATAATGTGATACTTAGATTGTGAGAAGAAAACTTGTTTCTGTTTCTTTATTAAGTGTCTGAGAATTTGGGGTCAGTTCTGTGGTAGATTACCATCACAGCTGTCTCAGGAGAGAAACTGTTACCCATTTCATAACTTCAGTGACTGATGTCAAAAAGCAAAAGTACAAATGTACCATGTTAATTGGTCTACATGAATTGCTAGACAGCTCAACCGGTTTCGTAATTTTTTATGGTAGCATTCAAAGAAAAAGACAAGGGCATTGAATTTCCTTTAAAAGTTTTTGAAAGGGCCTCTCAGTCCATTTTGCTGCCTTGTGAATGTTGAAAGATCACAATTATGAGATACTTGGACCTTCATACAAAACCTCAGCCCCTTCTTTGATCGCACAGGAAAGAAATTACTGTAAGTTGCTACACCTCACTCTCTGGTAGCATTTCAGTTCATATGCACATTAGAGCAAATTTCCTGTCAGTATTACGTTTCCAGGTTTATCTACATAAATGAAAACTTTACCGTGATTTTGCCATTGCAGGATCACACTGCACATGCTGTACATATTAATGGTTCTCCTGACTGTACATCAGCCTTTTTCCCAGCCTCCCCCAGAGGCACCTGTGCCTCCCAAATTTGAACAATGTCTGTATAAAATCACCTCAGTATTATCCTTTTTTTGGGGGGTGTTTCTGTGGTGGGAATACAAGGGAGGAGAGAGCACTGACAAAAAATGAGCAAGGGCAGGTTGTATAGTAAATTGCAGCAGGTTGCTGCTAGGGTAGAAATGTAGGATGAATGTTTGTGTTATTTTAGCCTCAGGATGACTGCCTTGCCAGGCAAGCTGTAATTGTTTCTGGTTTTGTTTATTTGGCTTCACTGGAAACCCACAAAAATGAACAAATAATTTATTCATGTAAACCAAAACTTTTCAGATTTCTGGGGCGGGGTGGGGGGAGAAGAACAACAACAAAAAAAATCCAAGAAGATTTGTGGAAAGCGGGATCTTCCTGGTAAACTATGTGCTTAGTGGACAGTTTTCTCTCAAAGGAAGTTTTGGCAGAAAGCCTTTGACGAGCCCACTGGGAAACAAAAGCTGCCTTAGCAGAAGTACAACTTGGCCACCCAGGGGACAGTAAGAAACCTTTATCCAGTTCTTGGGAACTTGGAGCAAGGCATATCTGGTTCTTAAGCAGAAGAAGGTTTTTCCAGAACTCGGGATTCCTCTTGCCTTATAGTGCAGCCCAGGCCTCCTCAGTTACTTGTTTCTTCTATCTGCTTTGGGTTGGAGTTTTCTTTAGGAAGGAAAAATGTTTTTTGTCGTAAAATTTGCAAATGGGGTCTCACTACTAGAAAAATATATTTGTAAATATTTTTTAAATGGTCGCAGTACCAGTATAACGCAGTGAATGCTGAGCTTGTCAACACACCAGCTGCTCCTTTAGCCCACCTTCCCCTGGTGCTGCCTGTACTGCTTTTCTGCTCCCCCTTAATCAGGACTCTTCCTTTTTATTATTCAAGTTTTATATCATGTGTTCATCAGAATGCTTTAGTTTTCTTCCAATCACAAAATTTCCAATGAAATGGCAATGGAAATATTTACCCGGAATTCCAAAAGTTTTAAGGAAATCATTGTACAAGATGTATTGGCATTGCAGTAGTACTGACTTTAGTCAATGCTGCGCATGCTCGGCACGTAAGGAGTTTTAGATTTCTGAATTTTTACCAGTATTAAGGTGTTGTATATAAGTGGTTGTGCATAAAGACTTCAGGTTATTCTGAGCCATTTTTTATAATATTCTCTAATTTCAGGTGTTTAGATCACTGTTGCTAGAGGGTGTGAAAAACAGTGCTGGATTACTTGGACAATTTACCTGAAGTACGTAATTTTTTTGGTCCCAGATTACTCCTATATCCAGAAATTCTCACTATCAGGAGTACCCCTTGCTGCTTCAAGTGTCAAGTGCCGAGCAATTCCTCATATCCACAGAGACGTTCATCTTAGGGGAAAGTTCCTTTGTGAAGAACTCAGTCTGGATGCTTGCTGTTGTCTGAGCACCAAGGAGGAACCAGGACCCTGCTGCGAGCAGTGCAGCAGGAGCCCGCACAAGCAGCAGCAGCAGCTCTGCTCCCTGGGATAGAAGGCCACAGGGGCTGGTGGAGGGCTCCTCAGCCACTCACCTGGCACCTACTCACAAGCAGCTGCTGCAAGGAGAGACTGGGGGCTGTCTAGAGGCTCTTCAGGAGGGACTGTAAAGACTTGGGCTGGAAACTATGAGTCAGTAAGGTCTGGGTGCTGTGACACACTGGTGACAGATCTCATCCCAAAGGCACAGGTATGTGGGGGGAAAAGTGTGGGATAGTAACTTACTGTGGGTTGGTGGTAGCTGTGGGATGCTGCTGGGGCTGGAGTAGTCGTGGGTGCCTGCAGCACATGGCAATTTCCGTTTCTTAACCACTGAAAGATGAATAAACTGAGGGATACACAGTGGCTGTGCTCATTCTAGCGTGGGGCAAAAGAGGGGTTTTGCAGGGAAAGCTAATGCTGAGTGCCCAGCCTTTGTGCTGTGTATGCTGTAGTGTTTTTACTTAAACTAGCTCTAGTCTCATTCTGTCATCTGGAGACTCCTTGCCAGGTAGCAGATATTAGATCTGCTCCTTTGATTTAATCTGAAAGCAGTTTTGTTTGTACAACCCAAAACTGTTCCAGGCTGTGAAACTACATATGGTAAATGTTCAAGAGAAGGGTCCAGGGAGACCTTATAGCAGCCTTCCAGTACCTGAAGCGGCCTACAAGAAAGCTCGAGAGGGACTCTTTACAAGGGCATGGAATGATAGGATGAGGGGTAATGGTTTTAAACTGAAAGAAGGTCGATTTAAATTAGATATTAGGAAGAAATTGTTTACTGTGAGGGTGGCGAGTCACTGGCACAGGTTGCCCAGAGAAACTGTGAATGCCCCCTCCCTGGAAGTGTTCGAGGCCAGGTTGGATGGGGCTTTGGGCAACCTGCTCTAGTGGAGGGTTTCGCTGCCTATGGCAGGGGGGTTGAAACCAGATGGGGTTTAAGGTCCTTTCCAAACCAAACCATTCTATGATTCTAAATCAGAATAATACTGAAACTTAGTTCAAAAAGCATAATCCTGATGAAGCTAAAAAGCTGAAGTCAGTGCACCTGTTACTTGTTGTGGCCGCAATGCACAGACAGCAACTGGGGCTCAGCTTACCAGCTGATGATCTTGGTTGTGTGTCTGAGCCCTATAATAAGCAGATCAGAGAGGAGGTATGTTGAACCTGTAACAAGGTCAATGAGCTGTAGTTTAAAGTGAGGCAAATGGACTTG